CATGCTGGAGCAGTTTTACCAGCAGCACTTGTGACCCTGTGGGGATACCCACGCTGGAGCAGGTCTGTTCCTGAAGGACTGCACCCCTGGAAAGGAACAGAATACAGAGAAATCGTCCGAGCAACCAGGGATCAGGTTAGGGAAGCTAAAGCCCTGATAGAATTAAATGTAGTGAGCTTAGACCACTAGTCTAGAACTGGCAAAATTAAATCCTCTCACCTTTATGCTCAGTAACTTTCAGCAGACTTTTGTCCCTCGGACTCGCTACTCATGCTTTCTGTCATTAACAGCAGCTAGGGAAAATAACACGAAATAGTTTTCTTTTGTTTGGCATTAAAGATCACATTATCCTCCTGGTATCAACGCACTACCTGTCACTACCACATTGGATCGAGCCTGTCTGTTTAGATGTCTTACAATTGGGTCCCCATTACATACTATCAGTGTTAAAATTTTAACATTGAGGGTTTTTTAACATGTAGGGTCATCAAGATGATATCATGATAATCCCCAGCACTTGGGATCAAGCGACTTCTCTCCCACAGTCAGGACAAGAAGTCTTCCAGGAGCCAATGTTCAACCTGAGATACACAACATCACCCTCCAGAAGAGTGCTTCCAGTTCCCTCTGTCCTATGTAATCCAAGGGTTTGGGGGAGATCATACCCCATGGTACCCTAGTGGAAGAACTTCAAGACTAGCCTATGGCACCTATGACACGGTGTCAGCAGGGGCATGCACCCAAAAACCCATGGCCCAGGCATCTTTACTAACCCATAGATCTCTGTGCTTCTAAGTGCACTCAGACACTGAGGATGATCTTGTCCAACTCAGATCCTCCTATCTTCCAGGGAACCAACGTGTTTGGTCCCATCCTTGCTCTATCTCACTGCCCTCTGCCCATCTGGAAACTTTGATGTCTTTAACACAGTGATCCTGCTCTGTCTTCAGAAAAAGTTTATTTGGACTCCTACTGCTCTACCCCACTGCCTTTGCACCGAAACCATCTTCTGACAAAATGCAGCAAGCTCAGCAAGCTGAGAGATGGAATGAGAACAGTGATTTATGTCTGGGCAATACAGTCCCACTCTCCCACCCACAGTCACCACAGCTGCTGAACTAGGAAGTGGAGGGGCCTAGTGAATACTAAAGTCTCTGCAGTGGGTGCTCCTGTGGTCCCCATGGCATGGCAGACGTGATGGGCAAGGAGGTTAATGCAACCACTGTAGACTCTGTGACAGGAGATCTCTATGGCCATCAAGGCTCTTCTCCATGTTCCTGATGGAGGGCATGCTGACACTGTCACCCATCTCACAGTGTATCCTATAAAAAAGTAAATTTTGTTTTTTCTCATTTCCTGTATCTTTACCTGGGCAGGTCAGCTCTCTTGCTAATCTCTCCCTCCTCAACACTCCCAGTGCCACAGTGACAGATCTTGGTTATGGTGACTGACAGCTTCAGAACCCATGTGGAGACAGAGCACTTGTAGAAAAGTACAGGAAAGCACCCTATGGAGGCCGTGTTCATCTTCCACATGGTCACTGATGCTGCTGACTACTCCTTTTATGCTCACATGGCAGACATAGAAGACTGCATTTGGGAGAAGAAGGTACTGGACCTAGAAAGGGATATTATAGGGTGGAATTTGGGTGGGAAGGAATGTTATGGGGTGTGAGAGCAAAGCCACTGGTTTCAGAACTGGATGCGAAACATGGGAGTGATGTGCAAGATTGTAGGTAGCCCTTGGTCCCTTCTGGCCATGATATTTTTTTCTCATGTGCACCAATTGTCCAGCTCACAGATCTTAAACAAGTTTCAGCAACGTGTAGCACACGCAGGCGACTCACAGGGGGTCGTAAAAGCGACCCAGTCTTCTACCGACTTGAGAGCCTACCTCTGCAGAGACGACCCATGGGAAGATGTGTTGGTAGCTCAGTCCTGAGTTGTCCGATAAGCTCTAGACTAAACAGGGCGGTGTTGCATCATTCAAAGAATCGAAACTTGAGTTGAGCCGTGAAATCCTTCAACAAGTTATATGCCCTGAGTCTCAATCCAACCATTATTCAGTTGCCTGATGAAGTAAGACAAAGAGAAGCTGGAGGGTTTCAGTTTGAGCCAATAGCCTTGTGTACTCAGGCAATTACAGATCAGCAAAGAGAAGTAAAAAGTACAACATACCAAATTGAACCTCACCCATCGATGAATAAAGAAAGATAAGGGGAAACTCCACCACACCATGGAAGATAACGGTATAATCCACTCAGGCATAGTCCTACACACAGTTACATAAAACAGGAGATAAAACCCCTAACATTCAGGTTGGTAATTGGGAGTCGCTTCTCCAACTATACAGCTGGCCTATGAGGCGACCCTTCCCCCTTGATTGGGATGCTGGCGAAGGTAACTTCCCTGGGATTGAGACCCTTTCCCTGGAGGGGTAAGTGAATATTTAGCATGCTTTACGTTTGGACGATTAACTAACACACGTGTGGTATCTAGCGTGCTTGTGTGTTATAATAGTGTATTCTGTGAATCTCTTGTGTGTTGTAATAGTGTAACGTAATAGTGTATTCTTGTTTTTAAATTGCGATGATGCGTTCCTCCATTGTATCCGTAAAACCTGCAATAGCGGCGTATTGAATCTGCAAGTGTAGTTCAAAAAAATTGTTGGCTTCAACCCTGCAATTAATCTGTAAGCACAGTTCAAATAAATCGTTTGCTTGAACCTCGTAGTCGAGTCTCTCTTCGCCACACCATGACAAGCTCAGGAACTGAATGGCATTTGACCAGAAATACAAGTTAGTGTTTGGGATGACTGAGAGGAAGGCTTGAGAATTTGTATGATGCAGTCGGACATCCTGTAGCCTCTTGTTCTCATCCATAGTAATTTTGGATGTTACTTGTTTCCATATGATGATAGAAGGGAGCCGAGTACTTGAAGTGAAACAGGAGGACTTCAAAAGGAGGAGATGTCTTTCTGCAGCTACAGTGGAGCCTCTGGCACTGTTTCTGTGCTTGTAGAGATGTGGGAATGTGTACTTCTGTAGCTGAGTGGGGTAATGCTGTGCTTTTGGGTGCTAGCAAGGTCTTAGCTGTTTCCTCTACTAAGCACAATGCTGCTGAAAGTGTGTTTCACCACAACTCTGCAGTGACAAAGGAGAGATCTGAGTCCCATTGTTTGTCAGAACTGGTGTCTTCCCGAGGGAACTGGTTCATAAAGATTCAGGTAAGAAGCAGAGTTTGTCAAAAATAGGAGTTCGGATTCAATTCTGGCCAGCCCGCCAACAAGAAATGTGTCTGTCCCACCCATGAGTGGTCAGGGTTGTCTTCCTGCAATACTGCTTTTTCCTTTGCCGTCTTTGAATTTTTCTACCCCATCACCACCCCAAAAAGGCACAACCTTGCCCAGCCACATCCTGCTCTGATGATCCAGTATGAGAAAAATCTCCATATTTCAATACCACAGAATCACAGAATCACAGAATGTCGGGGATTGGAAGGGACCTCAAAGGATCATCTAGTCCAATCCCCCTGCCAAAGCAGGACCACCTAGATCAGATCACACAAGAACGCGTCCAGGCGGGTTTGGAACATCTCCAGAGAAGGAGACTCCACAACCACTCTGGGCAGCCTGTTGCAGTATTCTGGTACCCTTACTGGAAAGAAGTTCTTCCTCATGTTTAAGCGGAACCTCCTGTGTTCCAGCTTGTATCCATTTCCCCTTGTCCTATCATTGGATGCCACTGAGAAGAGCCTGGCTCCATCCTCATGACAGTCACCCTTTCCATATTTATAAACATTAATGAGGTCCCCCCTCAGTCTCCTCTTCTCCAAGCTAAAGAGACCCAGCTCCCTCAGCCTTTCCTCATAAGGGTTTCCTCATACCCTAAAGCATTTTACAGCTGCAAAGAAAACACTTTGCTGAGGTTTGAGAGGATGGTAAGGATAGAAATGGTGTGAAAAGGTGGGATGGATTTAGAATCTGTCTAAGGAATCCGAGATGGCTCCCAGTTGGTACTGGAAACCCATGGAATCTTCCCTTGGATGCTGTGATGCCTCTGCTTCTGAAAGGCTGGGTAAGTGGTTTGGAAAGGAGGTTGCACCTCCTTGCTGACTTGACTGGAAGAAGCAAAAGCAGATGAGGGATAGCACTGCCAGCCAGTGGGGACTGACATCTGCATTGCATGTCCCATGGGCTCTTCACTTGGAACACCAGGATCCTGTGGCAGTGGTGTCCCCTACAGCTGAGCTGGGCTGCCCAGAGCTGTGAAGCTGTAGCAGCATCTTCTCTCTGGCCATAGCCCAACACAGTGCATAAACAAATCTGTGCTCGGTCACAGGCAGAAACAGACCACTGACGTTTTTCCAACATAGTGTCTTCATGAGTGAGTGAGCTGAGTTGGTGGGAGTTTGGATAAGGACACTTCAGATCACCCTGACATCAGCATTTAAAGACCCCCCCCGAATTGTGTTGCTTCCTTTTGCCATCAAACACTCACCCTTCATTCCACGTATCCCTCTATCCATTTGTCCTTCCATTCATCCACCAATTCATCTATTCATCCAGCAGGCATTAGGGAGAACTCTGTAAACATTCTGCTTTCTGCCCTTATCCATCAGTGAACCTTTGTGCCCTGTCCACATTCATTTTTATATACTCTGAAGACCCCTGTTCCAGTCCTGGAGAGTGTTATCTCCTTGTTCTCTCACTCAGGTGTCCCATCCTGTTCCCAAGAAGGCTGCACACACAAGTAAGTTTGAACATGCTTTTATTGGTGGCCAGAGAGCAGAGCAGGAGTTAGCGCTGTTGGGCAGCAGTGGGAGGGAGTAATACTGTGTGTGCTTGGGACCTGCGTATTTACTTTGCCATGGAGACATTTTTTATCATAGAAGCTTGTGCCTATGCCATGAAGGCATCTCTGATTCCACTTCAGCTGCCCCTGGAAGCCTCTGAGCATCAGCAAGTGTTTGATGCATTGTGGAAATGGGGCACTGAGCATTTTAGTCAGAGGAGAGAGAGTCAGGCAGGTCTTGGAGTGCAAATTTCCTCAGCTCTTCTTGTATCCAGGGTATAAACCAGGAGACTCTGGTAAATACGTTAGGGAAGAGGTAATATTTTCGCCCATAAGAAACATAAGAAACAACGCCGTGAGCCTTCCCATTGCAGACTAATGGGCCACCAGAATCACCCTGTGAGGTAAAAGGAGTGGGAAGAGTCAGACATGTCAGAGCACAGCTCCCCCTGTGCTGAGGAAGAAACCGACCCTCTTGCCTCCCTCCGTGTGAAGAACGTCCCCTTTTGACCACCTCCCTCCAGGCCCACCTCTGCAGGGCTTGTACCTGCCTTACTACTCCTCTGGACTGATCTGTCTGAGATTCAAGAACTGCCCTCACATCCCTGAAAGGAAGAATCTAGTCCTACTTTAGACATGTGGAAACACCTGAGCCATCTCAGTATGTCAGGAAGATATAGTGAAAGATTTACATGAGATGCGCAGCCTGCTGGAGCCGTGGCAAGAGCAGGGTAGAATATCCCCAGGCATGCAAGAAGGAACACGATACTGACAGTTGGGCAACTGTGCCTCAGTTCAGTCAGCACGTCAGCTTCAGACTTCCTGGAGAGGAGTCTCAGCACATCGTCCTGAAGGATCCAGTTCATTTTAATCCCCTTTCTCACCCACCTGAGAACCAACCTGACTATTTAGTTCCAACCTCATCCCAAGCTAAGAGCCCAAAACAGCACTTACTTTGAAAGTTGATTTTTTGCCATCCTCATCACCAACACAAATCATAGACTGACACAGGTAATTTTTTGAATGCTTCTCACACACTTTGTCACTCTGCACTTTCAGATCCACCTCCATCAGCACACTAGTTTTAGCCCGTGTCTTAGAAGTCCTGCCCCAGCCAGCCACTTTGCATATAGCTCCCGGTTGCACATGCTCGTTGTGACTGGCCAAGGGGATCTGACTCACTTCCTTAGTCCGCTTGGCCCTTGGCTTCAGCTGCCAAGCAGAAGGAACATTGGGTTAGATCAGGCAAATCAATGGAAACACATTCATGGGGTTGGGGATGCGAATAGGGGGAGATCCCTTGGGCAGCAAAGATGGGTGAGGGTATACCTTCAGCAGCATGATGTCATTTTTAAAGGTATCCATTGAATACTTGGGGTGGATGACCCAGTGACCAACATGGAACTCCTGCTGGCTTGGCTCATTCTTATGGATGTTGTGGGCTCCCAGGATTACAGTGATTTTCGCGTTCCTGCCAGGAAACACCAACATATTCCAGCTACACTGACCACAGCCACACGGCCCCCGTGGCAGGTGGTTTGAGGGAGGTGGTGGTGGGATATGCCTCCCCACAGATCAGTTCTCATCAAGTTGCCCTCTGTAGCCTAGATTCTTTCCACAATTCAACTGAGGGTCCTTTACCTCATGCTGACATAGGTCTCAGATGTCCCATTCTGAATACAGAAGGGAGGCAGGGAATGGAAGACACCAGCCTCTCTTCTCCAACAGTAGCTCTGAGCCATTGTAGGAATCATGGACCACGAGACCACTGCCAAAAAGTACTGTCCCAGGCACACAGCTCCTGGCAGACATTCCTGCAACTCACAGGGGCTTGCTCAGCTCATAGAGAGCCTTGCTGTGCCTGAAGAGACACAGAGCACTCTTTCACCCCAGACCAGGACTTGTGGCTCTTCATGACGACCTGAGACTTGAAAAAATTCCCCATACAAGAAAGACAGGGCCTTACCTTTTTCCAGCCACACAGTGAGCTGCTGAGAGCACTGCATCCGGGCGAAGCAGGAACCCTCCACAGTGAGATGTATGTGACTCATTTGCAATTGTTAGATAAGCCATGTAGGGCCTGGAGTGGGGCTTAGCTTCGGATCCGCCAATGATCCTTCCTGGAAGGGACGTGAGAAGTGTTAATATCACGTATGCCACTATTTCCCATCAAGTTCAGAGCTGCATGACGAAAGGGGGTCTTCCTCTGACGTCGTATGCCAAAGATGCCAATACCTCTCCTTCTTTGTCTGTCCAAAGCATTGCTTATGCACAATGGAGAGAAAAACAAGCAACACTTCCTGCGGATGACTCTGGATGTCTAACATGCTGTCAAAGGGCACTACAGTAGTACCTGTAACAAGTCACTGTCACAGGCCCAGTCTGAGCTGACAGAGATGAGTAGAGTAGAGAGTAGAGATAGTAGAAAAGGTATCAGATGGATTTCCTACTTGGTGCCCTTTTCTGCCCTTGCATGTCCGGAGCTAAATTCCATCTCTGTGTACTCACCAGCCTCAGCCCATGGGAGAAGGAGAAAAGGACTGGTGAGCAGAAGGAGAATCAGCATCTTCTACCACTGTCCTGAAGAGCCAAAGCATAAAGCAGTTTTATGGCCAGACAGGAGACAGATACAGAATGTCAATCTACATATATGAAGTTTGGAGCTGAAACAGGAAACCTCAGCCTGCTATCAGCTTCTGTCATTTGCTGCTTTTATTCATACAAACCCCGGACTGTGGTTTGGTGAGGGGTTTACGTCACAATCTGTGCTTTTTTCTCATCATCTCTTCCAAAAGCTGGAGAGATGTGGGCTTATTCGGAGTACGCAGAGTACCCAGGCAGCAGTGACAGGAGAGGGGTATCTCCAGTTGAGCGCACATCTCAGTGGAGATCCTTGGCGAGAGCCTCCTTGGATCCTAGATATGGGTTGGGTTGCTTTGGTTTCTTCTTTTTCTCTTTTGCCTGATTACATTATAGGAACAGTGAGTGCAGAACAGGGCCGGGCAGAGGTCCTCGTTCTTATCAGAGCAGCTGTCTGCCATTGGAGGTGCCCTTGGGATAGAAGAAATCACCTGTCAGAGTAGCCAAGGCACAGGATCAACCAGAGACTCACAAACTTGGGCACTAATATCTTTATCACTCGTGAAAGATGTACCAGTTTTCCCACGGAATTCACTGATGACACAAGGTAATAGACCCATGCTGGTGAGCTGGGACATCAGGAGGTCATTTAGTCCAACCTGATGCTTCAAGCAGGGTCAGCTACGAGGTCAAAATTGCTCTGTGCTTTATTCAGTCAGGTCTTGAAAACCTCCATGTGTCTGGGAGCAACAAGAAGGGGCATCTTCCTGAGTGACAGGGAGTGAGTAGCCAAGAGGGACAACAAGGCAGAGACATTGGCTTTGCCAAAAGGGCCCTGGTCCCACAACGTTTATTTGAGGAGAACAAGGAAAGACTGGCGATAATAGTCAGGGTAAGGTGAGTTGTCCTCTCACTCAGGTCGGAGCATTCTAACCTAGAGAGAAGAGTATCCTGGGAGCCAATGTCAAATGCCGTGCTGAAGTCAAGGTAAATTACACGCACTGCTCCCCTCCCTCCGTATGGCCAGGATTAGAGAAGGGAACCGCCTTGGTCAGGCCTGGGTCACCCTTGGTAAATGCACGCTGACTGTTCCAATCCCCTTCCTCTCCTTCATATGCCCTAACGTGCGTCACGACAGGACTTGCTCCATGATTTTCCCAGGCTTCTTAGAAAACGTCGGCTTCTCCTCTCTGCTAACTTTGACCTTTTGCCTTTTCTTTCTTCCGCAGCCTGCCAGCACGACAACTGATCTGGGTTAACCTGCTTCCTGAGAGCTTTTTAACCACACGATCTCTGTCCCGCCAGAGATAAAGCAGAAACCTGCAAACCACTGTGCTTTCTGTCACGTGTGAGATTGTGTTATCGGAGGAGCACAGACCCAAACTGAGCAGACCCTTCAGACAACACCAAGCTGCAGCACCGAATGACAATAAACACTTGAGCAAACCCAGACGCCTCTTCAGTTTTCTCACGCTTCCAGCAAAGTGCTGATGTTCTCAGCAATTCCTCTCTTGGCTGATGACTCAAATAACTGTAAAGTAAGAGATGGTGTCTTCCCGAGCAAGAAGATACGCTGCAAGGCTTGTGACCTCTTGAAAGGGCCTGTGTAACCACACTACTGGGCACATGGGCTGGGGCATGTCTGAGCCCTGCTTGGTGGTGCCATTATGGAATTACTGTTCTGTGCACCCAGGTATTTTTTGGTTCAAAGTATCAGAAGGGTCAGAGCGGACCTGCTGGTGCTGCAGTTCACCAGAGCAATGCTTTTGAAGGTGAGCGCTGAGAACGTGTACTGCCTCTGTTGGGATGTGTCAGGAGGCATATGGGAGGTGACTGAGGCCTCAGCACCCACTCAGACAATCACAGAGGACTGTGAAATGCAGAGAGACAAACCTGAGCCATCCCATTCACACCAACTACCTGGAGGCACTCCTGGAACTGTCTGCTCTGAGAATCACAGGGAAATCTCAACTTGGAGCTACCTGACTGATTTTCTGTCAAGCACAGACTGAGCATAAACCAGGGGTTAACTGTCACAAAAAGGAAGACATATTGTCTGTCCCCTGCCATGAGTGGAGTAGAGTGCACCAGAGGTAGATGGCTTTTAAAGGACTGACCTCCTGCTGTGTGAATCCAGGTACTTCCTTCTGCTGCTGCAAATGAATTCAGAAGGCAAGTGGTTGGTTAGCCTTCAAGGACCTCTTCTTCCGAGCTCAAGACTAGTGCATCCCAACAGGTAGGAAGTCAAGAAAGGGCACCAAGAGACCTACATGGTTAAATGGGGAACTGTTGGTCAAACTCAAGTGGAAAAAGAGAGTGTACAGATCATGGAAGGAGGGGCAGGCCACTTGGGAGGAATATAGGTCTGCTGTCAGAGGATGTAGGGAGGCAACTAGGAAAGCTAAGACCTCCTTGAAATTAAACCTTGCAAGAAAGGTCAAGGACAACAGAAAGGGCTTCTTCAAATACATTGCAGATAAAACTAACATTAGAGGCAATGTAGGCCCACTGGTGAATGAGGAGGGTGCCCTGGTGACAGAGGATATGACCTTCTTTGCCTCGGTCTATACTGCTGGAGGCTATCCTGATGAGCCCCGGAACCCTGAGGCTCCTGAGGAAGTCAGGATAGAGGAGGAGTCTACCCTGGTTGATAAGGACTTGGTTAGGGACCAGTTAAGCAACCTGGCCGTCCATAAGTCCATGGGTCCTGATGGGATGCACGCGTGGGTGCTAAGGGAGCTGGCGGATGTCATTGCCAGGCCACTTTCCATCATCTTTGCTAAATTGTGGGGAACGGGAGAGATGCCTGAGGACTGGAGGAAAGTAAATGTCACTCCGGTCTTCAAAAAGGGCAAGAAGGAAGACCTAGGTAACTATAGACTGGTCAGCCTCACCTCCATTCCTGGAAAGACAATGGAACAACTTATCCTTGGTGCTGTCTCTAGGCATATCATAGAATCATAGTATCATAGAATAGAATCATAGAATGGTTAGGGTTGGAAGGGACCTGAAAGATCACCTAGTTCCAACCCCCCTGCCATGGGCAGGGACACCCTCCACTACACCAGGTTG